TTAAAAAAATCTCTCGCAAAGGCAGGTTCCTCTTTCTTCTTGAATCAATTATTTCGGGCAATAATGCGCCAAAGTAAAATCTGCCAAGTTTATCTGCCATCTTTTTACACATTTCTTCGTCTTTATAATTTTTTTCCATATTTATACCTTTGGGTGTCCACACAACAAAATAAACTTGTGAAACACCCATAACAAGCACTTATCCCTGGACTTGAAAGTAGTAATCATGATTTTTTTTTAGTTTCAATTCTCTGTTAATGTACAAAATTTGATTACTTTTTTTCTAACCTCTTCTTCGGGAGACAAATCTTGCGATTTTGAAGGGCATTTAATTTCGACTAATGCACTCCTATCCTCTAGAACCCTGTCTGGACTAGCAGCCAAGTAAGGAAATTGCTTTGAAATAGACAAGCCACACCGTTCAGTTTTTACATTTTTATTTATTTCAAAACACTTGACAGCTTTTTCCTCACTTTGCTGTCCATAGTATGTATGACTATTACCTCTAAATGTAATATACAATAGAGACTCCACAATTTTAGCTATTGCTGTAGTTGGTGTAAGTTTATAAATACGTCCAAAATTTGAAGCCGTAACCCTAATTTCTCTTTCTTTTGCCCAAATGTGCCTGTTGCCTAGTGTCTATTTCAATTTGGTCTAAATTCAAAGATAATTTTCTCAAAAAAACCTCTTTGGCTGTCACAAATGTTTCTACATCCATGGCAGGATTTTCTAAAAAATATTTAAACCAGCATACGTACATTTTTTTTCGACATATTTTTTTTACGAATACTTTGGTCTAAGACGAGCTTGTTTCATAGACGAACAATATTTTTTTGTTATTAAACCAGGACCGTTTTAATCACAATATATTGACTAATCCCCTCTAAAAAATTGATGACGTCACCTCAAAATTTTGCTGAATAAATCCTATCTAAAATGTACAAAATATGATGAGTCTCTTCTTGCAATTTATAATCCCATTCATATTTTTTGGATTCGGATATATAGGGTGACTCAAAAAATTTAATGAATGGGCAAACTTATTTTATTAATTTAATCAGGAACTACAAAACCGAATGCTTTAAAACCTTGCAAATGTTTTAAATTTACCATAAGAATGGTAAATTTTTGATCAAAATATATTTGCTCATCCCTTCTAAAAAATGGATGACGCCACCCCAAAATTTTGCTGAATAAATCCTATCTAAATTGTATAAAATATAATGAGTCTCTTCTTGTGATTTATCATTCCATTCATGTTTTTTGGATTTGCATATACAGGGTGACTCAAAAAATTTAATGAATGCGCAAATTTATTTTGCTGATTTAATCAGGAACTACAAAACCGAATGCTTTGAAATCTAATGTGAAAAAAAAAACATAACAGGCATGCAGTCGTCACGTTTCCGATAGCGAGGGAAGTACTATCTAAACTCTTTAGACCAATTTTTTTGATTTTCCCATTTCTCCATTTCTCAATTTTTCAATGTTTCAGCTTGGGATTTTTTCACTGTTTCGATTCTTTAATTTTCCTTCCATTTTTAGGTTTTTCAATATTTCAGCTTTGGAATTTTGAAATATTTCGTTTCTTCAATTTTTCAAATTTTTTACAGTAGCGGTCATTTGTACGGAACCACTCGATAAAAAGTCAGGTTGGTAGCTCTGTCATCTAGTACTTTACGCCGAACGTGGTTGGTAGCGGTAGTTGACATGGCAATCGAAACTAGCACAACACGCAAGGTTAGTTAATAGATAATCTATTAAATGACTTTGCACAACACGAATGTTTCGGTTGGCCTCAGCTATGCCGCACTGTATCCCGTGCAGACTGTATGTTCTGTTCATCTATTTATTAAAATAAAATATCTACATTGACAATGGGGCCATCTAACCTGTCAAATTTTTGACACATATGTTTTCCCCCAGAAACCCGTCAAGGTCACTTACACCAAACAAATTTTGAAAATTTACACTAGGGAGTGGTTCTATAGAAAAGATCGCGACTTTATATTGTGTTTTCATGGTTTTTAAATTTTTCGATGTTTTAATTTTTCAGTTTTTAAAGTTTTAGGTTTTTAGATTTCTCACTATCTCGACTTTTCAATTTTTCAGTTCCATGATTTTTCAATTTGTCGAATTTTTAAATTTTAGATTTTTTGTTTTCTTTGATGTTTTGAGTTCTCGATCATTCGATTTTGGAGTTTTCAGGTTTGGATTTTTTTTGTTGTTCAATTCTTGGATTTTTAAAATTTTTGTTTTTTAAATTTTCCTATTTATCAACTTACTGGGATTTTAATTTTTTTATTTTTTGATTGTTCAGTTTCTTGATTTTTTGAATTTTTAGTTTTTGACACGATTTTTTTTTCAAAAATTTTCAATTTTTCAATTTATTAACTTTACGATACTTACAGTTTTGATCGATTTCTATTTCTCAATTTTTCGACATATTACTATTGGGATTTTTCTCGATTCTTCATATTTTCGGGTTCTCGAATTTCTCCATTTTTCAATTTCTCAAATTTCCGATATTTCAGTTTTACGATTTTTAATTTTTTTTATTTTTCAGTTTTTAATTTTTGACGTTTCTAAATTTTTCGATTTTTCAATTTTTCAATTAACTGATTTTTTTATTTTCCCATTTCTCTATTTCTTGAATTTTCAATTCTTTCTTCAATTGTGATTTTTCAATTTTTCGATTTCTGGATTTTTCAATGTTTCAGTTTTGGATTTTTTCACTTTTCCGATTCTCCAATTTTCTTCCCATTTTTCAGTTTTTCAAGATTTCAGTTTTGAATTTTTTCACTTTTTCGATTTTTGAATTTTCCTTCCATTTTTCAGTTTTTCAGTATTTCAGTTCTGAGATTTTGCAATGTTTCGGTTCTTCAATTTTTCCATTTTTTGATGTTTCGATTTCTCGGTTTTTCAATTTTTCGATAGGTATTTTAATTTTTCAATTTTTAAGTTCTAGATTTTCCGTTATTTTTTTTGTTTTCCTTGATGTTTGATTTCTCGATTATTCGATTTTTCAAGTTCTCGGTTTAGATTTTTTGGTTTTCCAATTCTTCGATTTTTAAATTGTTTAATTTTTAAATTGTTCAATTTCCCGATTTATAGATTTTTCAATTTTTCGGTTTACCAATTTTTTTCATTTAAAATGTTTCAATTTTTCAATTATTAAGTTTTCGATTCAAACTTGTCTCTCGTCTAGCGTTCCCCCTTAATGTCTCGTCTACCAAATATCTTTTTTTTTCTATTGTTTCTGAATTAAACCCACAACTGTTTCTTCGAAAATTTTTTGTCAAATTCAACACTATGTTTAAAGAGCCATTCCTCTATTTTACATTTTTTACTAGAAAAAGTGGGTGGTTTATCCAACTGAATCGAATGATTGTCTAAAACCACTACACATTTTTGGTTCAACTTTGCCAAAGCAGGAATGAGCTGATTAACCACCCAAATTTTGAAAAATTGTCCCGTCCATCGTTTTATGATAGTCTCTATCGTTATCTTTTGAATTTAAAAAATTGTTACAACCATCCAAGAACCCCGTTGAACAACTCGCGTGGAGAATAGTAAACATTGATCCTTCACTTTTAATTTTGGTGGGATTACCTTTTAGACCAGTATCGTGCACCCAGCGACAAATGGACGAACCATTTTGATAGATCCATGTTTCATCCAAATACACGAAAGTCAAATTTTCACAAGAATTTAGAAACTGTAAATATGTTCTCAAAAAAGTAATTTTGGCTGCAACGACATCTTTTTGTTCACATAAAATTTTGCGACCATTTACTTCCCTGTGTTTATAACCCATTGACTTAAGAATTTTGTATAATGTGGTTCGCCCCTCTCTAAATTCCAACTGTTCCCTAGAACATGCCAAAAGAGTATCTACAATGAAATATTCGTTTTTTTTTATTAAGTTGCCAAATTTGTCGTTGCAGGTCTTTCCGAAACATAATTTGTAAATAAATCCGTTGGTTTTCGCTTGTCAGATAGTGATGTTTTTAAATTTTGGTTCCCTGTTGATAAAATTTTCGCCACAGTGGATGTTCCTACCTATGAGAAAAAAAATTAAAAATATTTTTCAGCGTATTTTTACATTACAGAAAATATGTTCGAGACCCCCATAGTTACTTCTTCGAAAGAAAGAAGTGGTGTTTTGTTTTCGGATAAATTTAAAGGAATCTGGTTTTTTATTGTTGTACCCGCCCCACCTGCCCGCCCTCTATTTTCTTAGAGAATATGTCGTTTGCCAAAATCATTCTTATCTTAGCAAATACTAGCCCCGCCCACCCACCCTCTCTTTTCTTGGAAGGTATGTCATTTGCCAAAATCGGTATTACTTTAGCCCCGCCCACCCACCTTCTCTTTTCTTAGAGCGTATCTCATTTGCCAAAATCAGTCTTATCTTAGCAGGTACTAGCCCCGCCCGCCCACCCTCTCTTTTTTTAGAGGTTCTTGATCAAATTGTACCGTAAAATACATATATTTTTTAAATACATAAGAAAGAGCTTTACAGACGGAAGTACTTCACAAATTTTGAAGCGTAATGATCTCTTACATGAGGGAAAATTATATAAACTTTTCAGTAAACGTTTTAATTGTGTATTTCGATGACTTATATAAAAAAATTAATGGATTCATTATTCAACTTTAAAATCGAAATATCCCAAATTACACCCCTTATTAAAAAAAGGTGTGACTCTCCGAAAATAATTACCCTGTCATAAATAAACGTCAAACAATAATTTCAAGGCCTACTCCGAGTACACCCGTTACATTCACTGAGGATTTCCGCAGCACAGAAATGACTTGACATCCATTACAGTTAACTCCGTTTTTAATGTCCATACTATCCAAGAAAATTCTTCACTCTCTCGCAATATTAAAAACCCACCCCTCGCACAATTCCCGCCAACATCAAACAAAAGTCGCGAAAACCGCCCCCTTATACACTCTTCGCGTTTCTAATTCTACTCTAAATTTTCCAGGCAACTGCGGCCCGACCCGTACCACCGCAAACACAAAACCTCCATCAAATGGAAAAATCTCAATCCCGTCTATAACGAGGAGTTCGCCTTCGACACCCGCCCCAACGAACTGGCCACCCAAAGCCTCTACATCACCGTCTACGACAAAGATTACGGCAAAAGTAACGATTATTTGGGCGGCTTAATTCTTGGCGGAACCGGATCAAAAGGATTACGATTAAAGCAGTGGCTCGACATGATTCGTTATCCGGATCACAGACATGAGGCCTGGCATAATCTCACTGAGGAAGTCTTGGATTGAATATGGAATCTTGTTGACAAGGACCAACTTAATAAAATATTCAAAGCTTTACGACGTTGCGTTTTTCACTTTCCCCTTTGCGGCGTAGCTTAGATTCGATCAACTCCGTCTTGTGGTTGAGTTTGAAATTAATTTATGAAGTTAGGAATTCAATATGAATTTGGGGATGGAGGGATTTTAATCTGGGCTTATTTATTCATCGGGGTGGTGGAAATAAAACGTTTTTTAATTATTTAGTTGGGAGGTTAGGAGGCATGGAATTCTTGAGTGATATGAATTGATTTAGCTGAGATGCTTTACTAATGGTGGGTGGCTACGACACTGGAAGTTTACTTGAGTACATAAGAAGAGGTAAGTAAACAATTTATATTAAATTTATTGTACACCTATTAAGCTCAAATAATACTTTTAAGTCAGGTTTAAATACAACAGATCAAGCAAGATTCATATTTAAAATTTTTGAGATGACGTCACCAAGTTATTCGAAAAATTGTAAAAACGGACTAATAAACCACAGATATAAGACCACATTACTTACAAAATTTTAAGATTTATTTAAGACAATTTTGAGACGACGTCATTAGATTTTTGGTTGATATGAATAAATAAATTATCGTTAATATTATAAATAGTGCAAAATGTTATTGCACATAGTACTAAAAATAATGCACACTTAATTACGATATTTTAAAAAATAAACTTCGTGACCCACTAGAAGACTTTGTTTCTACGAAATATTTTTTTACTGTCCATGGAAAACCTCCTGTCAAATTTTCGGAGGTGAGAACTTTTTTATTATTAGACAAATTTTCAAAGCTTCTAGCGGAAAATTATTTTTTATGGAAGAAGAAATATTCAGTTACAATCCCGCGTTTTCAATTTGAGTGTATTTAAACTCGAGTGATATTTTCAGCAACACACAAATAACACTTCGGTTCAAATGTTTACGTTATGGTAGATACCGCTCGAGTTTAAAATTGAAAAACAACAAACGATAACTGTTTTTAATTTTAGAATAAATGAAATCTAAAACTCTGCTTGTGGTTGACCGAAAAATTGTCAATCATGAAAAAACAATAAAGGACAGTGAGGGATACGGCAAAGAAGCAGGCGGGAAACACTAATAGCCGTAGCAAGTAGAAACAAATAAAGTCCACATATTAGTACGTGCTAAGATAAGACTGATTTTGGCCGTTTTATTTTATTCTTTTGTTTTCGCGGGCGCTCACCACCTGAGATCCGTGTCTCCGGCTTGAGAGCAACCCCGGCGCTCCCTCCTCCGGAAAGGGAACTGGCACCCGATTGACCGCCGCTCCTGACCGAAGGCGCCACCCCCGGCGGCGTGAAGGTCGCCGCATAAGCTTAGGTCGGCCAGACGTGTTTTTTTAAATCAGCGACACTAATCGGCCCAAGGCTTGGCACCCAGGTACGCCGCCACCTCACGTTATCGGCGAGATTCCGGACCGTCCGTCCGTCACTCCGGATTTTCGTCGCACTATGATAAGACTGTTTTTGGCAAATGAAATACATATCCTCTAAGAAAGTAAAGGGTGGGTGGGGGGAGCTAGTACTTGCTAAGATAAGACTGATTTTGCAGTGTTTAATTACACCGAAGGCTAGGCAACCCGTTGGGAAGCTGTAGACTGCAGTTTCGATCTTATTGGATCTCAACCAACCAGTGGACAGAAACAGCTACTTCCCAGATAAAAGCCCCGCCGGTCGCTGAATTACACCTGTCCGACTAATACTGATTTTGGAAAATGATAAGAAACTAAAGGGCGGGTGGGCGGGGCACTTGCTATGACAAGACTGATTTTGACAAATGAGATATCCTCTAACAAAATAAAGGGCGGGTGGGCGGGGCTTGTACTTGCTAAGATAAGCCTGATTTTGGCAAATGAAATATGCTCTAACAAAATAAAGGGCGGGTGGACCGGGCCTGTACTTACTAAGATAAGACTGGTTTTGGGAAATAAAATATCCTCGAAGAAAATAAAGGGCGGGTGGGCGAGGCTTGTACTAAGACTGAATTTGGAAAATGCAATACCCTCTAAAAAAACAGAGGGGGAGTGAGCGGGGCTAGTAGTTGCTAAGATAAGACTGATTTTGGCAAATGATATACCCTCTAAGAAACTAAAGGGCGGGTGGGCTGGGCTTGTACTTGCTAAGATAAGACTGAATTTGGCAAATGAAATATCCTCTAAGAAAACAGAGGGTGGGTGGGCGGGGCTAGTACTTGCTAAGATAAGACTGATTTTGGCAAATGAAATATCCTCTAACAAAATAAAGGGCGGGTGGGCGGAGCTTGTACTTGCTAAGATAAGACTTATTTTGGCAAATTACATTTCATATAAGAAAATAGAGGGCGAGTGGGCGCAGCTAGTATTTGCTGAGATAAGACTGATTTTCACAAATGAAGTATCCTCTAAGAAAATAAAGGTTGGATGGGCGGGGAATCACTTCAGACTGATTTTGCCAAATAAAATATCCTCTAAGAAATTAAAGGGCGGGTGGGCGGGGCTTGTACTTGCTAAGATAAGACTGATTTTGGCAAATGAAATATCCTCTAACAAAATAAAGGGCGGGTGGGCCGGGCTTGTACTTGCTAAGATAAGACTTACTTTGGCAAATTACATTTCATATAAGAAAATAGAGAGCGAGTGGGCGGAGCTAGTATTTGCTGAGATAAGACTGATTTTCACAAATGAAGTATCCTCTAAGAAAATAAAGGTTGGATGGGCGGGGAATCACTTAAGACTGATTTTGCCAAATAAAATATCCTCTAAGAAATTAAAGGGCGGGTGGGCGGGGCTTTTACTTGCTAAGATAAGACTGATTTTGGCAAATGAAATATCCTCTAAGAAAACAGAGGGCGGGTGGGCGGCGCTAGTACTTGCTAGGATAAAACTGATTTTGGCAAATGATATACCCTCTAAGAAACTAAAGGGCGGGTGGGCGGGGCTAGTACTTGCTATGATAAGACTAATTTTGGCAAATGAAATATCCTCTAAGAAAACAGAGGGCGGGTGGGCGGCGCTAGTACTTGCTAGGATAAAACTGATTTTGGCAAATGATATACCCTCTGAGAAACTAAAGGGCGGGTGGGCGGGGCTAGTACTTGCTATGATAAGACTAATTTTGGCAAACGAAATATCCTCTAAGAAAACAGAGGGTGGGTGGGCGGGGCTTGTACTTGCTAAGATAAGACTGATTTTGGCAAATGAAATATCCTCTAACAAAATAAAGGGCGGGTGGGCCGGGCTTGTACTTGCTAAGATAAGACTTACTTTGGCAAATTACATTTCATATAAGAAAATAGAGAGCGAGTGGGCGGAGCTAGTATTTGCTGAGATAAGACTGATTTTCACAAATGAAGTATCCTCTAAGAAAATAAAGGTTGGATGGGCGGGGAATCACTTAAGACTGATTTTGCCAAATAAAATATCCTCTAAGAAATTAAAGGGCGGGTGGGCGGGGCTTGTACTTGCTGAGATAAGACTGATTTTGGCAAATGAAATATCCTCTAAGAAAACAGAGGGCGGGTGGGCGGCGCTAGTACTTGCTAGGATAAAACTGATTTTGGCAAATGATATACCCTCTAAGAAACTAAAGGGCGGGTGGGCGGGGCTAGTACTTGCTATGATAAGACTAATTTTGGCAAATGAAATATCCTCTAAGAAAACAGAGGGTGGGTGGGCGGGGCTTGTACTTGCTAAGATAAGACTGATTTTGGCAAATGAAATATCCTCTAACAAAATAAAGGGCGGGTGGGCCGGGCTTGTACTTGCTAAGATAAGACTTATTTTGGCAAATTACATTTCATATAAGAAAATAGAGAGCGAGTGGGCGGAGCTAGTATTTGCTGAGATAAGACTGATTTTCACAAATGAAATATCCTCTAAGAAAATAAAGTTTGGATGGGCGGGGAATCTATTACTTAAGACTGATTTTAGCAAATGAAATATCCTCTAAGAAAACAGAGGGCGGGTGGGCGGGGCTAGTACTTGCTAAGATACGACTGATTTTGGCAAATGAAATATCCTCTAACAAAATAAAGGGCGGGTGGGCGGGGCTTGTAGTTGCTAAGATAAGACTTATTTTGGCAAATTACATTTCATATAAGAAAATAGAGGGCGAGTGGGCGGAGCTAGTATTTGCTGAGATAAGACTGATTTTCACAAATGAAGTATCCTCTAAGAAAATAAAGGTTGGCTGGGCGGGGAATCTATTACTTAAGACTGATTTTGGCAAATGAAATATCCTCTAAGAAAACAGAGGGCGTGTGGGCGGGGCTAATACTTGCTAGGATAAGACTGCTTTTGGCAAATGATATACCCTCTAAGAAACTAAAGGGCGGGTGGGCGGGGCTAGTACTTGCTATGATAAAACTGATTTTGACAAATGAAATATCCTCTAAGTCTAAGAAAACAAAGGGCGGGTGGGCGGGGCTTGTACTTGCTAAGATAAGACTGATTTTGGCAAATGAAATATCCTCTAACAAAATGCGGGGCGGGTGGGCGGGGCCTGTACTTGCTAAGGTAAGACTGGTTTTGGGAAATGAAATATCCTCTAAGAAAATAAAGGGCGGGTGGGCGGGCATTGTATTTGCTAAGATAAGACTGATTTTGGCAAATGCAATACTCTCTAAGAAAACATAGGGCGGGTGGGTGGGGTTAGTAGTTGCCACGATAAGACTGATTTTGGCAAATGATATACAGTCTAAGAAACTAAAGGGCAGGTGGGCGGGGTAATACTTCCTACGATAAAACTGATTTTGGCAAATGAAATATCCTCTAAGAAATTAAAGGGCGGCTGGGCGGGGCTTGTACTTGCTAAGATAAGACTGATTTTGGCAAATGAAATATCCTCTAACAAAATAAAAGGCGGTTGGACGGGGCTTGTAGTTGCTAAGATAAGACTTATTTTGGCAAATTACATTTCATATAATAAAATAGAGGGCGAGTGGGCGGAGCTAGTATGTGCTGAGATAAGACTGATTTTCACAAATGAAGTATCCTCTAAGAAAATAAAGGTTGGCTGGGCGGGGAATCTATT